AAATATTTAATCTATATATTGTAGAAATTAAAATATTAGTAATTTTAAAACTAAAAAAATATAAAGAAGTAGGGCAGCGGTGTGTTCCAGAAAGAGAAGCGGATTTTAAGGAGCCGTTGGCAAGCCTCGGAGAAATCCAACTCCAAGGCCATTTTTTCCTTCTGACAACCAACCTTTTTAATCTGCTAACAACTGCTACTTCCTTTTTATTTATATTGTTTTACATGAATTAATAGATTTAATATTTTTTTTATAAAATAATTTTAATGCTTTTTTATTATATATTTTTTTTATTTTTACATCATAATAAATACATATTAATTAGTAATACATAAATTAATTAAAAGTTATATGAGATTTAAAAGCATAATTTATAACATAATGATTAATGTTATTTTCATAATAAATAAATAAATAAATAAAATTTTACTAAAAATCCATCATATAAAAAAAAAGTGTACAAAATAATGCATTAATTAATATTCTTATTCATTGCTTCTCTTTTTTCCCTCTCTCGGTTTTCATCGCACGATTAATTCTGGAGAGTGATGCTATTGCTTCATGTTTGTTTGGACTTTGTCACTTTTTATTTTATGTATGCGTTGTGGTGGTTGGATGAGAGTGAAGTGAATGCTTCCTTCTTTGGACTTCTCACTTTTTAAATTTTATGTGTGCTTCCTTCCACTTTCTCACTCATACATTCACCCCTTTACTTTTTTTTATTTATTTATAATTTTCTTTTCAATTTTAATAATAAGTACTTTTTAAGATTGAGTTGAGATCAACTATATATATATATATCATCCATTTTTAAACTTTTACTTCCTAATTAATAATCGATTTGAATTTGAATTTTAACATAAAATGCTATTTTATTCTATTAGGACTAACTTGATAGGATCTGAGAAAATTAGTTATCATTTTTTATGAATTAAAAAACACCGCATTTTTACCATAATAAAGTCTTAGTCATAGCGCTTATTTATTTTATTTTGTATAAATATTATAAATTTGTCTTTAAATAATATGAATGAATACGATAAACACTTTACTCTCATGTTAAATTTTAATAGAGAAAATTTATTCCTACCTTTTCTTATTTTTATAAGTTCTAAATAAGGATCACTGTTTCATTTTACTAATTAAATTAAAAAACATTTTTCACGTATTTTAGTTTAAAAATTAAAGTTGGTGTATTTTTTATGACAAGTTTAAATTATATTTATTATTATTTTAATCTAATTTAGTATTTTATTTTTAATTATATTTTAATAATTATTTATTAATAATAAAATCACTGAACAAATAACATTTTATAATATAATATAATATTTTTATTAACATTACTTGATTTAAAATATAAAAGATAGGTTTGATAACAACTCGACAGATCGGTACATTTACTACTAAACAACTATTACATAACGGAAGATAAGCTATATGTATCAAAATAAGAATTTATAATATAATTAATGACTAATATCATATACATAGAAATCATATACAAAATATAGTATTAAGAGTAAAATAAATCTAAATGCCAATTAATTTATTTTAACCAAAAATTATACAAGGAGGTATTTTTTAATAATATACTGAAATAATTATGAGTGTCAATTAATTCTTTTAAAAATATAAAATTATTTAATTAATTTTAAAATTGATAAACTGATGTGACTTTAAATATTATCCAACGACAATAATTTTAACCAATAATTTAGTTTATGTAATGCATAAACTAAATAATTATTATAAGTAATTAAAAAAATTATAATACATTATATATATGAATAAATATTATATTTGAATATATAAATTATATTTAAATTTTGTATAAATAAATATTTTAAATATA